AAAGTCGTAAAAATGGATGACAAACTGACTGAGAGCTTGGTTTGGCTTGCTGGTTATAAGTCTGAATCAAGAGTCTTCAGATTTCAGCCTGTTTCATGTTGTGGATGATTTGATCCTTGTTGAGCAGAAACCATCAGGCACTGGAGTTCATGTGAAATGAAATGGGATGAAAATTTGTATCTCAAAGTCTGTTCTCAACTGGTTAAGGGTAAAATTCCAGCTTCAGGTTGGGAGTGAATTACGGTCCCAAGTGAAGTTTAAGTATCTGGGGGTTTTTTTTTCAGAGAGAGAACCAAGCCATATAGATTGGGACAGTGTCTGTAGTGATGACACTTATGAATAAAAGCTGAGCCAAAACTTTCAATTTGCCAGTTAGCTCTGGTGACAAAGAAAGCAGGATCTCCTAAGCAGAAACATCTGACATTTTTATAGGAAGGTATTTAGAACATGTCGTACCAAGTGGAGGCCTCACTCGATAAATGATATCCAGTGACGAGACTGTGAACACCTCAAAGTCTAACTGGATGAGCTGAATAAAGACACTGGTGGTGAAAAGGTTAGCAAACTTAGCATTTCTGACTACTAAATGAACAGTAATGTAAGTGAAAGAGTCTTTAACTTTAAAACATTTGTTATGCTAAAAATTTAGCTAAACGTAGATGCTTTACTTTCTGCATGTGCTTTTCTGTGCAGCTTTAAGATAACTGCAGCTTTAGGGGCATTGTTGCACAGTCTGCACTTTGGGAGGTGTTTGTTGTATCCAGACCAGTGCCTTTATGGGTCTAAATGAGTCAGTACAGCATTTCATTGGGCTGCAATTGTTGGAGACTAGTTGGTGACTCAAAATAAGAGAAAATGGCAAAAAAGTAGGTGGATTTTCCATTGTACTCTCACTAAATTTGGAATATTTTCAACCAAGCAATCAGTGAGCCATGTGGTCATGTACTGTGCTGTCTATTTTTTATAAATACCATTTGATATCTTGTCCCAAAGTCCAGAGAGATCCTGGCTTTGGTGCCTTCTCTTGTGTTGCCACAATCAAGAGCAGTGGTAGGATTTGTTGTGATGTCTGTCTTAAGTGGGATTAGTTTGCCATAATTGTTCCTTTTCTGTGTTTTAGTCCACCTTCCTAAAGTTGTAGTTCCTCGCTCCACTTTAGACATGCACTAATCCCAACCACTAATCCTGTGACACTGTGGCAGGACAAGAACTCCAGCTGTTATCTCGGTGTGTGTGAAACACCAGGTGTACTGTATGTGGGGTTTGATGACCCATCAAATGAATCCTCACATTGTGCAAAGAGAATTTAGGAGGTCAGACAGGGCCGACATCATCCTGTGTGTGATCACAGCTGCAAGGGTCAACTGCATGTAAACATCAACAATGTGTTTTCACAATGACACTATGGGTTTGTCAAGAGGCTAACATGTCTTAATCCCTTCAAAGACTTCATCTGAAACTAGACAGTCGCTCAAAGTGTTAGGAAGGAAATAACGCACTATTTTCTTCACAGAGTCTTATTTAGAAAGTCTGCACACAATGTTTTATGTGTTAACCATTTAAGCTCACAATCCTCGAGCTGATGGATTACAACTTTATTAACAGGTTCCAACATGTTTTTTTGTCCAAAAAATTAACTTGCATTCCCTGTTCCGTTTTATCTTCATAGAAATAATTCAAATTGGTTTCCCATATAATTCCCACATAAAAACCTAATGACAATTTCATTGTATTTTCTTATTTTTATTGTATATAAATTTTTGTTTTTAAAGAAATGAATAAAGTTTGAAATTGAAAAAAAAAAACAATCAGACTAGTATCAGTTGTATTAAAAGTATACTTTTAAAAAAGGCTACAGTTTTAATTGGGAAACAACGTTCTTTCAATGATAAAACTTCCAAAGGCCTGAAAGCAATGTGTATAAACTTAGGGCTTCAACAGTTAAAGTACCAACAAGATTTGGCAAGACATGCAATTCCATTTTGGATCTTATTTTCATAAATCGATCCTCCATATATGGCATATCTGGAGTTATAAAT